TAAAATTCGAAATAAGATCTGTAAGCCCATTATAATGACTCACTTCTAATGAATAATCATAATCACCTCACCTCCATTGAACATAGATCTAAAAGTGTGCTAGAACATTAAAAAATAAAAGAGCAAATAACTGTCACCATTTGCAAATGATATAATTATTCACATAAAAAAAGGAATTCCAGGAAATATATTAGAAATATTAGAAGTTTATCAAGTGGATAACTAAAAAGCAATATTAAAAACATTAAATTGCTATTTACTAATAATTGTCAGAAAATAGATTGTTGGGGCTGTAGTTGTGGCTCAGTGGTAGAGCGCTGGCCTAGCATGTGCGAGGAGGCACTGGGTTCGATCCTCGGCACCACATAAAAATGAATAAATAAAAGTAAAGGTAAAAAATGTTGTGTCTGTTAAAATTTTTAAAAATAGATTCTTAAACACTGGCACTTATAATACCAACAACAATTTAAAACATTGGATCAGCATTTAAAAAGTGAATAATCTCTATAAAGAAAATTATAAAACTGTATTAAAAGACACTGAAAACCTAAATAAATAAAAATACTATATTCTCAAAATCCTCAGGGTTTTAATTCTCTCCAGAACTTACTCAATGAATTTCAATTAAGTCCCAAAGGGTTTTTCATGTCTCATGTAACAAACTGATCCTTTAAAGAATCCAAATGTCCAAAAACAGCTGAGACTCAAGACCTCCCCAGATATCAAAATTTCTGGTAAAATGATAGCATTATTGATTAAGACCGTGTGAGTATCAACGCAGAAAAAGATTGCACATGATACAGAACAGGTGACAAGTGATGCAGAAAGGCAAACCAGAAACAGACCCATCATGCACATAGAAGCCAAATGTAAAAGAAATAGTACAGCAGATCACTAGTGACTGAGGGGCTGGAACCACGTGAAGGGATAAAATGAATGTGAATCACTAACACCATTCCAAAAAAGGAAAAATCAATTTCAGATGGATTATGAATTTAAATGTAAAAAGTGTCATTTTAAAACTTCTAGAAAGAAACACAGGAGAATGTCTTTATAAACCCAGAACAAGAAAGGTTTTCAGTTACAGAACATTAAAATTAAGAAAGAGTGAATGAAATATACCATGAAGAGTAAAAAGACTGGCCAAAAACTGGAAGAAGATATTTATAATGTATATAATCAATAAAAGACCTGTTACCAGTTTTATAAGACAACTCAATAGGAAAAAAATGGATAAAAAGACATGACCAGGTATTTCATAAAAGGAAAATATAAATGGCTCATAAATATATGAAGAGATGTTCAATCTCAATAATCAAACAAATGCAAATTAAAACCACAACGATGTATCATATCATACCCATTCCAGTGGCAAATATTAGGACATCTAACATAAGTATTGGAGAAGATATACATCTACTTACACACTGCTGATGAAAATATCTAAGTTGAAAAATCTTTTGGCCAAAATATAAACTGGTACAACCACTTCAAACCCTGGAATCATTCGTAAAGTTGAATATTTACACACCCTTTGACCCAGCAATTCCACTTCTAGCAAACAGCTTACGTTTACTATTTTTCTTTTCCCTCTCAACCAAAAATGCTTTGAAAAATCATTCACATTTTACAGCAACATCTAAAAAATTCTGGCATCAAGCTTAAATAATTGCAAATGATGAATTTATAGAGTATTATAGTAGCATTTAAAACTAGAATGTTTCTTTTAAATGTATAATTATTAATAACCATACAGTTAATCAAAATAGCTATATATACTGATAATTAAATAGAAAAGTGAAATTTTATTGGACATGCATCTCTTGAAATAATGGAGAGGTGTTGCCTGAATTAAAGATGGCTTTCCCCAATGCTATACACTGTATTTTAAATTACCTCTTTGGTTTCCAGAGTTTTCCTACTTGGGGCTATTCCCTAGTTCTTCCTTGTAGGTATGTGGTTTGTTTTATGTAAAAAACTACTGTGATGAAAGGGAAGGTGTGAAAGTTGAACCAGCAGGACTCTATTATTGGTCTCAGGCATACAGTTTCAAGAAAGATCACATACAGAATTTAATGATCTAGAAATTCATTAACATCTCCTGTTCCCATATACTACTTGGAAAATCATATACCCCAGGATGAAAATTAAAAGAAATTCTTTCAACTCTGTATATACAAGACTCTTCAAAGTAAGAAAAACTCAACAACCAGAACACCCACCAATAGGAGAATGCATAAGCTGTGTTATATTCACCTGTGGAATATTACACAGCAGTAAAAATTAAAGACTTACAACCATTCTCAATATCAGTGACCCTTAGAAATGTAACATTGGATGAAATAAACATGTTCCCAAAGACTACAGTACCCAGTAATTCCTTTCTTTTTTTTTTCTCCAAACACAGAAAACATACAATACATTGTTGAGGGATATTTACAAATCTGATAAAAATTATTTTTAAAATGCAAAGAATAACACACAATTCAAGATAATCACCTTTTGGGTGAACACATTCAATATTGGTTATTTTGATTCTTGGATTAACTGGTCGATTCACAGGTGTTCATTTTATTGTTTTGCTTCACAGCTTGCATATATTACACATTTTCAATATATCAAATATTACATTAAAATAAAAAGAAAATTTTTTAAAACATTCATCTTATAAAAATTGCTTTAATTAATTCCCCTCACCTGCCACTTGAGAGATACATATAACATATCATGGAAATCCTATCTTTACATCAACCATCGCAATATTAGGTACATAATAAATGTTCATTGAAATTAATTTTGAAGATCAAATGCATTAAAGATTGAGCTAATTAGCTTGAGACAGGAACTCATAGGTTGACACAGGGCTAAAGCAAAAGCCTAGATGACTGCAAGCAAATGCAACAGCAAGCTAGTCATAAGGAAGCTGGTCAGTAAAGAGAAGACAAAAAAATGTAGTATAATGACATAGTGTTAGCAAGGATATGAGGAAATGGGTGTTTTCACTCAATACCAACAGTGAAAATTGGTAAAACCGCTTTGAGAGCTTCTGTTTAAATTGAAGATGCACATACTTCTACCCAGCAAATCTACTACACAGACATACTTCCTAGAGAAACTTCCAAATGTGTGCATAGCAGACAGGTACAAAGATATTTATTGCAGGACTGTTTTTTAAAGAGTCGAAAACTGGAAACAACTTCATAGTCCATCAATAGGGGAATGTATAAATTATGTTATATTCATACAATGTAATTCTATACCAGGAATTAAAATGAATTCACCAAAGATCATTCATAACTGATCATTCAATTTATTCATATAGAAATCTCTAAATGTGATACTGGGTGAAAAAAGCAAGTTGCAAAAAAACACACGTAGTTTAATATCATTAGTTTAAAATCCAACAACACAATGTATGTTTGTAGATTCACCGTGAGCAAAGTATAAAATATGCAAAGAAATGATTTACACAAACCTAAACACAGTGGCTATCTCTAGGTAAGGAGGGGGAGGAACTGAAAGTACCTCCACAATCTTTTAATTTTATTTTTTTACAAAAAAGATTTGAAGTAAATCTGGCAAAATAATTACATCTGTAAAATCTAAATCATCGATTAGATCTCCATTTATATTCAAAATGCTCCACAAATTAAAGGAATGGAAAATTAGTCAAGAATAGGAAATTGCGCAGAACAGAGACACACCAAACGCAGCCCTTGAGCCCTTGAGCGCAAAGCAGGAACGAATAATAGTAGTAGTAGGTGGGTCCCTAATGGGTTTGAAGTTTTTTTTCCCGTATATCCTTATAATAAATTCCACTATCCTGATGATAAAATACAAATTTCTTTCAACAAAAGGTGTCCTAACTAGGACTGTAATCATAAGCAAACTGTGATTTACTCCTCCCAAGGTGAGGAATTAAGATTTCTACCTCGTTTCCCTCACCGTTGGGCAGAACAGAAAGACATTTATGTGAACGTCATAAAACACTGTGAACCAGTAAGTATCATCGAGAACGTCCAGGGATAGCTACTACGCATTTGCCGGCTGGCAGGGGCACATATTTTGGAAGGAGCTGGCATCTTAAGGGCGTTCGGAATCTAGGGCGCCTCTGGAAAAGGAACAACTCACTGGTACCATCTCATTCACCCATGTCTCTGATCAATTTTTCCCCCTAATAGGTCTCCCTATTCTGTCCCCAGAACAGTATGGCTCCACTGGCCAAAATGACGTCGCCAACACTGCAGAGCAGGTGGCCGCCAGACCCTTGGATGCCCTCCCCCTTCGCGTTGGCGTTCTGGGGAAGGAGGAGGCTCAGCGAAGGAACCGCGGAGCGGGAGCGCTGGGGTGGCGTCCCCCTCCCTGGTCAATCCCCTGCGCACGGGGCCGGCTCTGGACTGGCTGCCCTTCTCCGCACACAGGTGTCTAGAACGCGGAGAACGCAGACATGCAAGGGCACGCGCGCGCGCTCTCACGAACACTCGCAAACGCATCCCCGCACCCGAGCTCATGCACGCGACAGGCCCTATGCCGCACCCACGCGAAGACGCACACTTTCGCAGGGGATGCGCCAGGCGAGGGTCGCGACCGCAGCAGGAGCGGCCACGCGCGCTGGGGATGCGCGCCCCAGAGGGAACAGTGACAAAAGGGGGGTCACCCACCGAGGCCGTGAGCGCCCACGCCGCCTCCGAGAAAACTTGCCACCTACACAAAGGGGACCAGGAGGAGACCCACGGGCGCGTGCACGCGCGCCTAGCAGGTGTCACCCACGCACGAACCGAGACCGGGGCGCGGGGCTGCCGGGGGATGCGCACACAGTGGCCGCCCCCATGTCGCACAGGCACCCTAGGCCCAAGCTCGCGAAGGGGGAGGACAAAGGGGACACACCCACCGGGACAGACAGAAGCGGCCACACCCCCCAGGGCCGGGCACCGGCCCACGCACACACAGCAGGCACCTCTGCAAGGGATGCGGGGCGACGCGCACACACCCACACTCACCACACACCCACGGAGGGGGTGTGGAGGGCCCAGCTCCCGGGGCATCTCGACTGCGACGGGACAAGGTGACACATCCGGGAGCCCTGCCGCGCGCTGGCTGTGCACTCACCCGGGCCCGCAGCCCGCGAGCCTCGGACGCGGGCCGCCGCCGCCGCCTCCGGCCCTCCACGTCAGCCGGATGGCGGGCGGTAGCGGGCGGCGGCGCAGGCTGCAGGCGCGTCACGTGGGCTGCCAGCGCACATGCGCAGTCTGGCTGCACCGCCCACCCTTCTGCGGCCGCCAGCCGGGCGGCCCCCACGCTCGCTAGCTCCCTCCCCGCGAGGGTCGCGTTGCGCCTGCGCTTGGGCGGGGGGCGCCGTCGCCCCCGGCCTTTCCCTAGAGTTCCTCTTTTCCTCCCCCCACTGCGGCTCCTCGGTCGGCGCTTGCGCAGAGAAGTGGGCGCTGAGGTGGCCGTGTGGTCGGGAGGGGCAGGTGGGCGGAGTGGGACCCCGGGCCGAGGACCTCCGCCGCCTGACCTCGGGAGAGGAACTGAATTAAGCCCCCTGGAAGGGTCAGGGCCCGGGGCGGTGGGGCGTCCTCGAGCGCCCCTGACCGCAGTGAGGCCGGCCTCGCAGGCCGGCGCCCCCGCTGCAGGGGCGCGCGTGCCCGCGGGGGCGCGCTTCCGGGCGCGGGACGGCGGGTGGGCTCCGCGGTGGCGGTGCCCTGGCGGAGCGCTGAGGTGATGACAGACCCATGTTGGAGGGGCGTGACCACTGACGACTGTGTTCCTTCTCCGCAGATTGTCCAAAGCCTCAGGGAAAATGGTGGAAAATTCACCGTCGCCATTGCCAGAAAGAGCGATTTATGGCTTTGTTCTTTTCTTAAGCTCCCAGTTTGGCTTCAGTAAGTACTTTCCTGAAGGATGGCCAGGGGCTTTCTCTGGTGTCCAAGGACCAGGAAATAGTGCACTTGCTTAGAGTGTGCACACAGGAGCTACGTCCCTGTCCAAGAAAACCCGAGGGCAGTCGGGCTTGCGCAGTGCTCTGCAGGCCAGCTCTGCGAGGTGGCCAAAAGTAAACCAGGTCCCTGCCATGAAGGAGGACACCCGTAAAGCCCTGGTGAGCGCCAGGGGGTGGGTCCTCGGGTGGCAGAACAGATCTGTTGAAATCAAGGGGAATTCAGAGTTGGCTTCCTCCAGGGACCGTCCCCCTGGCACTTGTATTTGAGAATAAGCAGGAGGGGAGGAAGATGGTGGCATGGGCCTGGAATAAAGGCACGAGAGGGTTTGGAAGTGAGTTTGGGATGGCTCCAGGGCTGCCTGCAGGAGCTGGGGAGGGAAGAGAACTTGGCTAGAGAGGGCAGATTGAAAGAAGTGGCCACAACATCCTGACTCTCACTTAATCCCCTTATGTCCCATTTTATAGGTAAGGAAACCGAGGTTCTAACATACCGAGGTTCACACAACAAGACCCACCTTTCTTCCCAGAAAGATTTGGGGATTACGAGGCAATTATGAATACCCCTAATCCAACTTTCTGGAATTTGGTGAAAACCAGGAAATGGAGGAGTGGTGATACTTCTGAACCCTAATTGAAAACAAATAACCTAATGTCAGAGCTGTTGCCTATAGAGTCTGTGGAGAAGTTATAACTGAGTTCAATTCTGACTCTTCCACAGGTTTGCTGTTTGCTCTGGGATCAGTTTCCTTATCTGTAAAAGGATATTGATAATGATGGTTATTGAATGCTTGTTATGTATAAAACAGTCCTGTGGGTAGTACTGTTATTGTTGTCCTTGTTTTAAAAATGAGAATACTGGGGTTTAAGTAATTTGCCCAAGGTCACTAGGAGATGATAGAGCTAGAATTTGAACCCAGACATATTGACAGATTTCACTCTGTTGCCTCTTATGACTGTTGTGAGTATTAACTGGGGTAGTAAACTGTAAAGCACATAATGCAAAGATACAATAAGAATATAATAAATGTTTGCCCTGGTATCTTTTTTGTAAATGTCTATTCAAATAGTATTTCAAGAATTGCCGAGCGCAGTAGCTCACACCTGTAATCCCAGTGGCTTGGGAGGCTAAGATGAGTATAGCAAGTTCAAAGCCTCAGCAAACAGCAAAGCACTAACAACTCAGTGAGATCCTGTCTCTAAATAAAATACAAAATAGGGGTGGGGATGTGGCTCGGTGGTTGAGTGCCCCTGAGTTCAAAAAAAAAAAAAAAAAGTATTTCAAGGATTAGAAACTATATAAATAAATAAAAGAAATGCCTTTAAGGCTTAAATTCCATGATGCCCACAACCGGAAATTAATTTTTAAAAATTGAGTGTTTACTTGTTACAGGCTTTCTAGTGGGAGGAGCTAGCTGACGGACAAAGTAAATAAGTAAAACATAATACAATGCCAGATTATAACTTGTACTATAAGGAAATATTTTAGCAAGGGGGAGCCAAGTACAGTGGGAATGTCTGTAATCCCAGAGACTCCAGAGGCTGAGGCAGGAGGATTGCAAGATCTAGGCCAGCCTGATCCATTTAGCAAGACCCTGTCACAAAATTTAAAATAGGACAGGAGAACTCTGGTTGTGGCTCAGTGGTATAGCACTCACCTGGCACATGTGAGGCACTGGGTTCAATTCTCAGCACCATATAAAAATAAGCAAATGAAATAAAGGTATTGTGTCCATCTGCAACTAAAAAAATTATTTTTTAAAAAATGGACTAGGGAATGTAGCTTAGTGGTGGCACCCCTGGTGTTCAAGTCATGGTATTACAAAAGAAAAAGAAAAGCAAAGGGAAAGATGATAAAGGAGGTCCTTCTAATATGCTCCTGTGTCATCTCTTATTACTACTCATTCATTAGCATTCATCACAGTGTAGTGAAAATATCAATTTATTGTCCTGTTCACAAGATTTTAAGCTCTGGGAGGGCAGAAACCATCTCTTTATGGTTCATTATAACTCACTCCTGACATAGAGACTTCTATAATACATATTTGTCCAAAAAAAAAAAAAAATCTATCATCACTGATAAAGTTAGTTTGAAATTTGACTCTGCAACTTTCCTCAAACAAATGATATAATCTTTCTAAATTCCATTTCCTCATCTGTAGAAATTGCACACATACTTTGGGGTTGTCTTGAGGATTAAATTAAATAATACGTATGGAATTTTGCCTACTCCACAGTGAGCACTCAGAGCTATTGCTATTACACAGAAGAACATAAAGGGTGCTGCAGAGACTTGGGATTGAGGGAGAGAAAGTTGTACCCAGTCAGAAGCCTAACACATAGCAGATCAGAACTAGAGTAGATAAATACCCCTTTTAATAAGTAAATGTCTATAATTACCTCAACCCTGTGGAGATGAAGTACTGACTATCTAGTATACATAAAGCAAAGAATTAGGTATGGTAAAAAGTACAGTAATTCCTGAGGCATGTTTTATACCCTGAATTACTTAATACACTATGAGAGTTAAGATAATAAAAAATTACTAATAAATAGCTGGGGTTGTGGCTTAGTGGTAGAGTGTTCGCCTTGCACATAGAAGACACTAGGTTTGATCTTCAGCATGATATAAAAATAAATAAAGATAATGTGTCCACCTAAAACTAAAAAACATTTTAAATTACTAATAAGGTACTTATGATAAGTAATATAAGAATGGTATAAATGAGGAGCAAGGGGGGAATCATTTCTGACAAATCAGGGGTACTTCAGAGGAGCTTTTTTGTACCTGAAACTTTTTAGATTGAATATGTGCCCTACTTAACTTTTTCTTTTTTATTTTCTTCTACAGTACTTTATCTTATGTGGGCTTTTATTCCTGAATCTTGGCTAAACTCCTTAGGCTTAACCTATTGGCCTCAAAAGTAAGTTTAATATTTGTTAAGAGTAAAACTAATGCTGTTTTAAAGGAGTATGTTACTCCTTAAACTATCCAGATCTTTCATTATTCTTTTAAAAATCCATAGATGGACATATATAAATAAAACTTTAAAGATTATGATTAATAAAACTCTAAATTAAAGATGGTAGTGTGAGCACACATTTATCCCCATAAATCTTCCTACCATGAACCCTAGGGGGGAAAAAAACATACTTTAGAGGTATAAACCCATAGAAAGAAAGAATAACAGATAAGAGGTATCAACAAAATTTTGTATAAATTGAGATAGGGGAGTTTATTTTTTTCATATGGCTAGAATAGGGAAGCCATCAAGAACATTTTTGCCCTTGAATGCTACAATGGTTCAGAAATTGGAGGTATAAGTACCTCTTTAACATAGTAATTCTGGTTTGGACAGAAAAAAATATTTAAAGAGCATTCTATCCTTAGTCCTACCTTGTTTAGTCTTCATAACTGCAAGACTGTCCCTACCCTCCCTTGTAGAAAATCATTTTACCCTGTAGAAAGGCTGAAAGTTGCTAGTCTGGGGGGCCTTAGATCTGAGTGTGGGAAATGAGGCACCTACTGCAAGCCAGAATAATTGAACATCTGCATGGCTGAATGATAAGGCACACCCCCTCTCCTAGCAACTGCCAGGGGCTCCCAGACTTATACCATCCTCTCCTTCTAGAAAAAAGTGAGAAAGAGGTACCTTCCTCAGGAAGCTGACCAGTGTGAAAGAAAAAAACCTATAATTTCTGCCATTTGGAGGACTCCAGTAAAGCAGCCAGGTCTTTTAGAGGGAGGCTGACTAGTTGGCCATCCTTGCCCACTGTGCTTCAGTTAGTTTGTTAGCACTTGGACTGGTATAAGTTATTAGATATTGAAAGATAGCTTCTAACCGGAGTACAAAAACAAAAGAAAAAAGGAAAATTGAGGTAATGCCGGATACAGAAGAAAACTTTTAAATTAAAAAAATCCTCAAAGATAAGAAAAGATTACAATTATGAAATCAACAGTATACTCTATAAAGGGAATGTTTAAGAAGTTATCATACTTGATAATTATGATAGCCAAAATTAAATTTTTAATTGAAAAGGTTGGAAGATAAAAGTTAATCTCTAGAAGGTAGAACAAAAAGTCAGAGAAATGAAAAATATTCAGGGCAAAAAATTTAACCACTAGAAGTTCCAGAAAGGAAAAAAAATTAAGGAAATTATTAAAGCAATAATGCATCAGTAAAATATGCCAAGATAGGACATGCAATGTGCTTACCTGTTTAGAGAGGTAAATTTAAAGGCATATTAGAATTTGGGGCTGGAATATTGACAGGTAGATGGAAAACCAAGTATACATTCAAAATGATGTAATTACTAACTTAAAAAATAATAATACATAAGAAAATATGTAATAGTGATATTCTAAGGTTCTCAGTTACAAACATTATTTATGTAATCACAATAGTTCTTAATAACTAGTGATAACCAGAAATTGTGACATAGGTATAGAAGAGAATAGGAAGAGTTAGGTTCCTATCTCCAAATTAGGAAGTCTAGAGAAAATATCTGAAAAAAAATCAAGAAATTAATATGAACATGATATGTAGAAATGAAGAAGTACCAGAAGAAATAGCTCAGGTGTTAAAAGGTGTCCTTTTTGGGGATTAGGATTTCAGGGTCAGGATGGATGGAACAGGGGACTGCAGCTTTCTATTATAACCCTTATAGAGTTATTTGACTGTCATGTACATTTATTACTATAAATTATATTTAATTAAAATGAAATATAGGGGGGCTGGGGATGTGGCTCAAGCGGTAGCGCGCTCGCCTGGCATGCGTGCGGCCCGGGTTCGATCCTCAGCACCACATACCAACAAAGATGTTGTGTCCACCGAGAACTAAAAAATAAATATTAAAAATTCTCTCTCTCTCCTCTCTCTCACTCTATCTTTAAAAAAAAATAAATAAATAAAAATAAAATAAAATAAAAATAAAATAAAATGAAATATAGGGCTGAGGATATAGCTCAGTTGGCAGAGTGCTGCCTGGTGTGTCCTAGGTTCAATCCCCAGCACCAAAAAAAAGGGGGTGGGGGTGGGTTGTGGCTCGGGGGTAGAGGGCTTGCCTAGCATGTGTGAGGCACTGGTTTTGATACCTGGCACCATATAAAAATAAATAAATAAAGGTATTGTGACCATCTACAAGTAAAAAAAATTTTTAAAAATTGAATATAAAAATTGGTATGTTTTGTCATGACTCTTAAGAATGATAACTTTTAAGATAATCTGTCATACACATTAATATTCTCTTCCACAGATATTGGGCAGTCGCACTACCTGTATACCTCCTTATTACTATAGGAATTGGTTATGTACTCTTATTTGGAATTAACATGATGAGTACTTCTCCACTCAACTCCGTTCATACAATCACAGGTAAATATATATAAGAGAAAAGTGCTAGGGGAATGGAGGAGTGGGGTTTTAGAATTTTAATCAGAAAAGCAATTAAGAATATGCTTCAAGACACATTAGATCAATAAAAAGAATCTAGGAGCCCAGTGTGGTGGTACACACCTGTAATCCCAGCAGCTCAGGAGGCAGAGGCAAGAGGATCAAAGCCAGCTTCAGCAATTTAGTGAGGCCCTAAGCAACTTAGCAAGATCCTGTCTCTATAAAAAGGGGCTGGGGATGTAGCTCAGTAGTTAAGTGCTCCTGGGTTCAATCCCCAGTACCAGAAATAATAGTAATCATCATCATCATCTATGAGGAATGAGTACAAAGCAATACAAAAGGAAATGTTTACATTGAGGTACTAAGTTATGATGAATATGCACTAGTTATAGTCATAGATTAAATCAGTTCTGATGAATTATACCACCAACTAACAGGTATATTTTCCTGTGCAATGTACAAGTATATAAAGTATGTTCCTCAGTAACTTTACCTGAGAGAAACTTCTTTTATCCTAAATAGTCACTGTTGCTCAAGGGATGGCAAGTAGGTATAAGACTTTATTCACAAGGGAATTTGGGGTATGCATCCTCCTCAAATTGTTGTGTACACCACATCTCTAACAAGTAGATAGAAGAGCCATATGTTCTCGAGGGGTTTATTTTGTTTTGTTTTGTTTCAGGTTCTTTCCTTTCAAGTCTAAAAGTAGGTATACTGATTTGTGAGCTTTCTTAGATTCTGGGAAGTATTTTTTAAGTTCCCTGGTATGATTTTTTTTGTACATTGTAAAACCTTTATTCATGAATCTATGCAATGTCTCTTGAAAATTAATGTTATTTTTAGTTTTTTTCCTGATAACCTACTATATTCCCTGCATTCTTGATTGGAATTATAGCAGATAGGCAACTTGTACAAAGAGAGGAAATTGTTAATTTTTTATGAATATTTATACCAAAAGATTTAATGAATTTTTGCAGTGTTGATTTAACTATATCTTTAAGGCCTGGGTATAATTCTGTCCCTGTCAGAATTGTGAAATGGAACTTTAATCATCATTGTACATTTGAATGAGATATTAATTTTTTTCTGAATTAGAAATGAGAAAAATACTTTGCTAATTACATTTTTGTTTTACTGGGGCACTTCTTTTAAAGAGAGAATTAAGTAGTTATTTCATTATTTTAAGCATGTTATTTGTCATTTTCCAAACATCAACCTGGTGAACTGTGGTGGGTCTCCATCAGCCACAAAAACTACAGGAGAAATTGCTTAAGTAAACAGAACTTTTTTTTTCTTTTAGATAACTATGCTAAAAATCAACAGCAGAAGAAATACCAAGCAGAGGCCATCCCAGCATTAAGAGATATTTCTATTAGTGAAGTAAACCAAATGTTCTTTCTTGCAACCAAAGAACTTTACAACAAAAACTGAGTTGCATGTAAAGATGCTAATATTAAGCATGTTTTTTGACAGAATAATTTTGACCATAATTATTTATTTTTTCTTATTATTGCTCAATATTGAAATGTAAAAAAATAAAAGTTATTCTTCTCTTAAGTAAATTTTAATTAACATTGTTTTCAAATATTTATTATTAATAGAATAAATAAAGTACTGCATTACCGTTTAGCAGATTTAAAAAAAAAAAAACCAACCATGTTGATATAATCCTTCAGAGAAGCATTGATGCTGTAATTTTCAAAGGTCAATTGTGTCTTTCCTCCTGTTTGTCCTGAGGGGCCCAGAATGCAAACTCCTGGATTTGAGTGAAGGGTACATTTAAAATTTGTGCCATCAGATGCATGTCTGTAACATAAATATGTATTGAGTGCTTGTTTGTGTCAGGTATTTTTCTGGACACTTGGGATAGAATAATGGTAAGATTCTCTCAAAGAGCTTATATTTTAAAGAATTATATTTTTTAAAGAACTTATATTTGGGGGCTGGGGTTGTGGCTCAGCGGTAGAGCGCTCGCCTAGCATGTGCGAGGCCCTGGGTATGATCCTCAATACCACATAAAGATAAATAAAAGTATTGTGTCCAACTACAACTAAAATTTTTTTTATAAAGAACTTATATTTTGGAGGTAAGTTGAAGCAGACCAAGCAAATATGAAAAATATTTGTGATGAGTGCTGTGCAGAGAAAAGGTAGTATAATGTTCTGGAAAGTAAAGGGATAACTATTTTAGTTTGGGTTGTTAAGGAGGGCTTTTCAGAGGAAAGTAGTTGGGGCTGAGATTTGAATAGCAAAAAAAGCAACCAGGCATAAAAAGATTGGAGGGACAGTATGAACTAAGTTTGAAGCAGGTGTAGCAAGGACTATAATGCAGGAAGGAGCTTGGTGTGTCCTAAGAACAGAGAGAAGGCCAGCATTGGGCCTGGAGCGCACTGGACAAGGAGAGATGTTGTCTGAGGTACACCTAGTGAGTCCAGGCCACATAGTGAAGGGCTTTGTTGGCCAGTGTAGGAAGCTTGGATTTAAGTCAAGTGTGGTGAGTTTAGGGGCACTTTCAGTACCAAGCTGTTGGAGTCTTTAAGAAAAGAAGTGACGAGGCCTAATTTATGTTTTTTTAAAGTTGCTCTGGTGGATGGAGAATAACTCTGGAGAGGAACTGGGAGTGGGGCAGGAATAGGGAAGCGAGGATACCATTAGGATGCTGTTGCATTATTCCTGGCAAAAAACGATTGCTGCATCAACAAGAGTGGTAGTGAAGTTGGGAGGCAGGGATAGCTTTGCAACTTTCGTCAGAATTCAGCAGACTAAGTATATAGATCTGATTGTGCAGAGTAGTGAGGGCTGACTGAGAGAAGTTGTGATCAAGGGTCATTCCTAGGTGTTTTTGGATTAGGGAACTGGGTAGATGGTTATGCATTTTACTGAATTGTCAATATTTGGAGAAGTGCAGTTGAGGGGCTGGAGGATTTGGTAAATAAATTTATTTGGCACCACCTTATTAATATTTGGATGAGCTTGTATAAGAAACAGAAGGTGTTTAAAAGTTAGAAAATACACTCAAAACCAGTGGGTCCAAATCTAAATTTATTTAACCCTCAAGACTCTCAAACTTTGATACCCTAAATCTCTATCTGGCTGGTCATTTTTTCTTTAGGGTATCTATATACAAGAGTGAAGTCATACATTTTAGATATGCAAATTTAACACTCTCTTTGAAGGAAAGAAGGGAGAGAAGGAGGAATTTTAACAAAAGTAGGGCTTCTGTTTCAGTGACCATAATAAGCATGCAGGTGATGATATGAATCTGCTGTTTCCTGTTCCTTCATTTTTCCCAGCTCTGTATTTTGTGATGATAGTGTCACCACACTAGAGCACTTTAAGAGAACCAGCCAACTCTCAAGTACAGAGAGGTACATAAGTAGAGCTTATATACCATGGAATGCTAAAAGCCATGCATGCAGGAACTAATTTTTGTTATACCTGATGACATGGATGACCATCATAGACATAATGGTCGGCCATAAGTCAGACAAAGAATATACAGTGTGTGCTTCCACTGGTGTAAAGTTTAAAATCAGGAAAAATTAATCTGGTGGTAAATATTAGAATAGTGGTTACCTTTAGAGGAAGGTTAACTAGGAAAAGGCATTAAGGAGTCCATTTTGTGAGCTGCAAATGCCCTACATCTTGATCTGGGTCGTGATTATGGGGTATAATATTGCCGCAGTCTGGCTGGGCACAAAATCACAAGCCACTGAAGCAGGAACAAACTTTTTTTTTGAAACTGCCACCAATACCCTGTACACACCTGGGAAGAAAACTGATCCACACACGTGGCGTTCTCAATTATGGGAGTTGAGGGCTGCTCAGCTGTAGATGGAGCTGTTGGTTGAATTATGCCCTCTGGTGATAGAACGGAGTTAGTAGCAGCCTCCTGTTGTAATTCCCCACCTGATGGTTGTTTTTCCTCTGTCTGACTAGCTCGAGAGACCTTCTCTTTTGCTTGACCTAACATGTTTTCTACCATAGTCTGGACCTCTAACAATTTACTTAACAGTCTTTTGGTTTGTTTTTTACTAATTTCTAATCTACTATAAAGGTAACGCAACCCAATAAGATAGCATAAAACAAAGCCAAAACAGAATGAAACAAAAACAGAACAAAGAATAGTTGTATCAATTTTCTCTTTCTCAGGGCCGAACAACTTCAAACCTTGAGCCAACCATTTTTCCCAGTTTCCCTGAGAAAATTCTAGGGATAGGCAGCTTGAAATAAAAACAAAATAAATGGGCTGGGGATGTGGCTCAAGTGGTAGCGCGCTCGCCTGGCATGCGTGCGGCCCGGGTTCGATCCTCAGCACCACATACCAACAAAGATGTGTCCGCCAACTAAAAAAATAAATATTAAAAAAATTCTCTCTCCTCTCTCTCCTCTCTCACTCTCAAAAAAAAGAAAAAATAAATTAAAAAAAATAAACCAAAACAAGAACACATTGTTTTTTGAAATGGTCACCCATTCTGTCGCCTTCCCTCAGGGGCGAGCAATTTTACTCACTTCCAAGCTTCAGGCATGCCCCGTACAGGCCACCAATTGCCACAGTCTGGATGGGCATAAAATCACAAGCCACTCAAGCAGGAACAAACTTTATTTTTGAAACTGCCGCCAATACCCTGTACATGCCCAGGAAGAAAACCGATCCACACACGCAGCGGCGTTTTCCCAAACCCCAGAACGAGTTCCCCGGAATTCCCTCCTACTGTACTTCCCCAACCGATGGGAACTCTCCAGGAGTCCAATATCCATATGAATGCAAATCTTAACATAATCATATCATCTCAATGGCTAGCTGGCGTCACCTTTCAACCAAAAATGCCATGCATCATATTACTTGGCTGTGGCTCTTAGCATAATATATTTTTAGAAAATCATGAAGTTTTATCTTTGTGCTCTTGATTTAAGTTACACCTCAATAAAAAGGTGGGAAAACAATGCCTATGTCCATAAATTTTGATTTATTAGTCTGGAGTGGGACCCCCAAGCAGAGATAATTTTTTGAATGTCTTCCAGATAATTCTATATGCAGCCAAGGTCAAGTTGTTGTAGCACTTCCTAGCATGTATGAGGTTCAATCCTCAGCATCACCTAAAAATAATAAATAAAATAAAGGTATTGTGTCCATCTACAACTAAAAATAAATAAAACAAACAATAAAAAGTGCCTTGCCTGATTAGACTGAACTGAGCCTGTGGTCAAGCAGGGAACTGGTGGACTACTTTGGAAGAGAAAGCCAGCGCTACTAGATTGGTCCCTTTCCCTTCCTATGAACAGTTTTCCTTGTCCTCCCTTGGGGCCAGTGACAGGCCCAAGAGGGCTTTCAAATGGGTCAGAATGGAACTTTAAAACTGCACTGCATTTTAACCTCAAACTGACTTTTTATTCTATTTCCCAACCACATGGTCTTCATAGCTCTAAAGGGTTATACCATACCAGGGTTTCCAAACTTTTGACTACACTTCTTCAGAAGATTATGATCAGTTTAGTGTAGCAATTCTCCATTTTTTAAAAAAAATAATATCAGGACCTCTTTTTACTCATGAAAAGTAAGAGCCTCAAAGAGCTTTTTGTGTATTGGTTATGAGCTCATCCCACAGGCTGTCTAGAAATTTTAATTTAGAAATTAAAATAGAAATTTTTTATACATAATAGTTTTGTCATACAATTAATGTTGCTGATCATCTTTCCACATATGAAATGATTTCTGTTACATAAACATTTAACCCAAATCATTATTGTAGTAATAAACTGAATCCAGAAAGACAATGAGATTTAACATCAGTATATTTTTTGTGAAAATTAACTGTAGTTTCCAAAATGAAAAAAAAATTAGCAAGATGGGTAGAATTTTTTTGCAAATCTTTAATGTCTGCCTTAATGAAAGACACCGGGGCTCTCATATCTGCTTCTGCATTCAAATCTGTTACACACATTACAAAGCCTCTGGAAAAACTCCACTGCATACTCATGAGAGAATGAGAATGAAAAAAAAAAAAAAAAAGCAACATCTTAGTATTATTTTGTAAGTGGTTTTGATCTTGTAGGCTCCCTGAGATAGGATCTTCCTACCCTAGACTTTGAGAACCAAAGTGTGTGTATGTATGAGAGAATTAGAGTAGAATATATCAGACTGCATTGCACTTGGTATGTGTAAATAATTTGATTTGACACCTCCCATGGACACTTCAGACCCTTTCTGGTTCCTCCTCTAACTACTGATGCCCTGAGCAATTTTGTATATGTTTTGACCAGATCCATGCAGTTCCCCCTTTTAGTCTACCCTGAAAGGGAGGGGTTAACACTGTATAGGACCACCTAGAGCCTGACATGGGACAGGCATCTGTGGATACACATCCCCCTGTCATCTCCCAAGGAGACTGTTCTGAGCTCCTTTCCATGAGCTGCTTAAAATCTCTCAGCCTGAGCTGGGGTTGCCATGGCATCGGTGAGCTCATCCCACAGGCTGTCTCTGCTCTGTTTTTCTCCCTCTGCTGCTCACTTTTCCTTCCTACAGTTGCTTCCCCATTGAACTGCCTACACACAGCCTTTCACAGCCTTTACCTTCAGGGGAACCCCAGCTGTTTTTATTTTCTAAAGATTATGCATCAGATATAGGGCCAGGATGCATAATGCATTTCCAGGCTGCATGTCATAATTTAAGAGAGAAGTTTGAAAGATACTGTTTAGCAATGAGCCTAAATAATAACAATAGTCTAAACAGAAAATGTCATAATATTCAGAAATGTTCTGAATATTAACATAACCGCCTCCAGTGATTAAGCTCCTCCTAGGAATAATTTAAAGTCTCTGTATGAAATCACC